AGACAGACAGACAGACAGACAGACAGATAGATAGATAGATAGACAGACAGACAGACAGACAGACAGACAGATAGATAGATAGATAGACAGACAGACAGACAGACAGAGACAGATAGACAGACAGATAGACAGACAGATAGATAGATGGATAGGTGAGTGGATAGATGTTGAATATAAACGTTGCATAGATAAATGTTTGGATAGATTAGTAGATGATTAGATGTTCATGGTTAGATGGATAGATAAATGTATTTGGATATGTTTTTTGTGTTCACTGTATGAGAAGTTGTTTTGGGAACGGTCAGCCAGTGAAAGTGTAAAGCTCTGGGAAGGCCTGGCTGTGACAGAGGTGTGTGAAAGGAAGTGTGTAAGTGTGAGAGGACTGGAGCGGCGTCTGTGCGTGTGTGATGCTCAGGAGTTTTTCTTCCCCTGCTGGGAGCACCACACAATGTCTACCCCAAAAATGGCCCTCACTTCCTGTCCACTTCATTCCCAGGACCCTTTCTTTCCCCCTCGTCCCATCTATTGAATTAGAGAGACCGCATCTCTCGCAGACAAACCATGCGGAAGAGCTTTATGAAGAGCGTGCGTCTCTGTGCGTGTATATGTTTATGCGTTGTCTGCATTTGAATGATGTTGAACAATAACAGTGGTAGATAATGCTGAAACCTATATACAGTGATCTAAATCACCGAGCACTCACCCATCCCAGAGAAACAATGGCCCCCGCCGGAACACATTAATGGCACAGTCTCATTAACACTCTCAATGGGTCAGGCAATACCATGAGTCTCAAAGAGGGGGATGGGCGCAATTTATTATATTTGCCAATTTAGTGGCCTCTGCTCTAATCTTAGCCATTTAAAAATGTGTCCATTACCCAGATTAAACCAGTCTTAATATATACAGTACTAGTCAAACATTTGGATACACCCACTCATTCTTTATTATTATTATTTTCCAAATGATTTTCGAAGTATTGTATAGTAAACCAAAACAAAGAACATTTATGTTCGTTTGTTTGCAAATAATATTTATAAAATATGTATTTATCTTCAAATAATAATTTCAAAATCATCAGTTTATTTGCAAATAATATCTATAGAAAAATGTATTTAAATGCAGATTAATATTTATAAAACATTTATTTTTGCAAATAATAGTTATAAAAACGTTTAGTTATTTATTTGCAAACAATAGTAAAAATATTTATTGCAAACAATATTTATATAAACCCTTTTAATTGCATATTAATATTTATAAAAAATATTTGTGTTTTTATGTTTTATAAAATAATATTTATAAAAACACTTATTTGCAAATTATATTTATAGGGGAAAAATCTTTTATTTATTTATTTACAAAGAATATATGTACGTTAATTAAATTAACGTATATAGAATAAATACATTATTTTTTATTTATTTGCTTATTATTTCCAAAAACATTTTCCTATATTAATATACTTGCTTTGTAAATATATTCATATGCCTACGTTTACATTTGCCTACAAAACAAATGTTATTTTAAGCATACAACTTTCAAATCTTTAAGATGGTGACACCCTAACAATTTTAGTAAATTTATCCCAAACGTCTGTGGCCTGTTGCATAAACTGATTAGACTAGTCATAGAAGTTAGTCATCTAATTGTATTTCTGTAAGGCTGGTCGTTATTCAAGTCAGTTACATAAAACAGAAAATTAGTCTAATTTGAATCCGAAAGTAAGACAGATTGCCCTTGGCTAACAGCTAGTTGGTCAAGCTAGTTCTTAAGGTAAACCGTCTTAAGATAGTAGCTGTGTTTATGCAACTGGACTCAGACTAGTACTGTTTTACTACCAACTTCTGTATCTTCACATTCACCTGGGAATGATGGTTCTCACCAAATGAGAATTGATTACATTAACACCCATTTGCAGTGTCTGTTGATTAGCCTGCATAGTGTTAGTGTGATCCTTTAATCCTGGAGTCTAATCTCATAATGTTCTCCCTGTCTGCCTCTCACAGACACTTACTGCTACAATAGATCAAACACAGATACTCTGAAATCAGGTCAGCCTTTAAGACTCTCTTAACACATTGTTAGGAGGTGTGCTGGGATCTTCAGCTGATACCCACAACAGAGAAGACTGTAAGCAATCACATAGCAATGCTCTGGAATTCACCTTACCATACCAGCATCACGGAGGAACATTTGCCATGTTAATTTGCCTTAAAAGTAGTGCTGCCAAACGATTAATCGCGATTAATCGCATCCAAAATAAAAGTTTTTGTTTACATAATATATGTGTGTACTGTGTATATTTATTATGTATACAGTATATAAATACACACACATACAGTATATATTTAGAAAATATGTACATGTATTTACAATCATATAATTTATATTATATATAAACATATTTAATATATAAACATAACATAGTTTTTCTTAAATATATACATGCATGTGTGTCTATTTATATATACTTAATAAAAAGAACAGTAGTGTGTATATATTATGCAGTATAGGATATATAGGTGCTTAAAATGCAGCATGCAGACTGACAGCGGCATGTTGACGTGTGTTTCAGAGATCCCGGGGTTCCTGAGTGTGGAGGAGAGCAGTGTGGTGATGCAGCTGGCCCAGCTGAAGGGCCTGACCCACAGCTCTCTGCTCACAGCGCCAGACAGCCAGGAGGAGCAGCTCACTGAAGACCAGCTCTTCAGCCTGCTCGACCTCAACCAGGACGGCCTTCTGCAGAGAGAGGAGGTCAGACACAGTGCTGCCACTTACATGTATCAGTTCAGTGGCTTCAATAGAATAAAAGAACATTTAGTCAGTAGGGGTGGGTAATATGGCAAAAATATTATTTCACGATTTTTTCCAGAAATATCACTATTTTATCACGATTCTTTGCCATGTTGGTTGTACTATTTTGCAAGTTGGCTGAGCAGTAAAGCCAAACTAATTTCCCTATTTTAAAAACAAAGCCTTTCAAGGTAACCAAATCTAAAATAAAAAGAGTGGCAGATATTTAGGTTAAAGTGGGTGAAGAAACAAATTAAAGGTTTTATTAAAGTTATTGTGTTTTGGTGTTTAATTAACATTAAAGGGATAGTTCAGCCAAAAATCAATTAATTTACTCACTCTCAAGTTGTTTTTTAAACCTTGAATGAGTTTCTTTTTCTGTTGAACTTAAATGTTATTTTGAAGAAAATGGGTAACCAAACAGTTTCTGGTCCCCAGTGGCTTCATAGTTTTTTCAAAGTCAATTAAAGGGATAGTTCAGCCAAAAATCAATTAATTTACTCACTCTCAAGTTGTTTTTTAAACCTGAATGAGTTTCTTTTTCTGTTGAACTTAAATGTTATTTTGAAGAAAATGGGTAACCAAACAGTTTCTGGTCCCCAGTGGCTTCATAGTTTTTTCAAAGTCAATGTGGACCAGCTAATTTTTGGTTACCCACATTCTTTAAAATATCCTCCTTATCACATTCAACCATTCTGGAAAGGGGTTCATTCTGTAACCCAGGAGATAACAGGGAAACGTTTTATTTCATCTCCTTCACTTTATTTGTTGAATGACACTTCTAAAGATCTTTTTGACTCGGACTCTAAGCCTTTGTTTGTAATACTCTCATTTTTGGCTAAAAATGTATTCTACTGAAGTGGTCTACGCCTCAGGTTCCAACTGTTACTATGTGGATATCCCAGCTGTCTGCCTTTCTTCCTCTGGAGAAATTAACTTATGATCTCAATCACAAGTCGGACAAATTCTGGAGACTTTTGGAACCCCTCCACTCTTTTTTTTACAAAAACTCTGAACTTTTATTTTAAGAGAGCTTTGGCTCTTCCTTACCTGACATGTTTTTGTTTGAATTAAACAGGTAGAGATTACTATTGTATTTATTTTATTTATTTATTTATGCATTTAGCAGATGCTTTTATCCAAAGCGACTTACAGTGCATAATTAATAATAATAATAATTAATTAATAATTAATATTTTCAGGGATGTGCTATTTAATTCTCAGCGCTGGGGGGTTTTGTTTGTTTGTGTGTTTGTCTGATTGTTTTGATTGTTAGTGCCTGTATTATTTGAAAATCCTTAATAAAAAAAATAAATAATAATAATATGTAAAATGCAATAATAATATAATAAACATTGAATAAACATTTATTTTAATATTAAAAAAATTGTTTTAAAAATCCTCCTTTGTGTTCAGCACAAGAAAGAAATGAATGCAGGTATGGGACAACATGTGAGTGACTAAATAATAACAGAAATTTAATTTTCTGTTATTAAACAGAAAATTAAAGTTGTTGCAAACCATTGTTAGTGCCTGTATTATTTGAAAATCCTTAATAAAAAAAAATTATAATAATAATATGTAAAATGCAATAATAATATAATAAACATTGAATAAACATTTATTTTAATATTTAAAAAAATTGTTTTAAAAATCCTCCTTTGTGTTCAGCACAAGAAAGAAATGAATGCAGGTATGGGACAACATGTGAGTGACTAAATAATAACAGAAATTTAATTTTCTGTTATTAAACAGAAAATTAAAGTTGTTGCAAACCTGTGCAAGTTGTGGTGGACTGGAATATTTTCAGTCATAATGACTTTCAGATAGGGATGTGCGTTTTAAGGATTCAATGAATCATTCATTAAGATGGACTTGCCGCCACCTACTGGCGTTTTTTTGTGTCATATTTATTTATCCGTGACAGGCCTAAACCTGCCAAATTCCCAGCACATAAACACACTCAGCAAAATATCGTTTAACTATAGTTATCGTCGAAGTCTCTAAAAATACAGAGATATTATTTTTTGTCAATATCGCACACCCCTACATTCGGTGTATATAAATACATTGTATATTTTCTTCAAAAACATGGTCGTTTTCAGTGCTTCTTTGAAAGCTAAATGACTCATTTTTTGTTCCACGAAAGAAAATAATACAGTTACAATACTGAACAATGAGAGAGTGAGGAAATGATGACAGAATTCTGTTCTTGGGAATACTGAGTGAGCTGAGAGATAGAAACGGTTATAAAAATGAATATTCCCAGAATTAAAAGCATCTGTTCTGCTGCAGATTTTGAGTCTGTCCCATTCGACTGATGGATCTTGGCTGAGCTCATACAATTTACGGAAAATCCACACCGGGCTTGAGACCAACCCTTCTGGTAAGTGAAGTGTGTGTGTGTGTGTGAGAGAGAGAGAGTGGTGGGTCTGACACAATGACACAACATGCAGTGTTTTCTAGCAGCTTCCGGATGGATCCTATCGTCACTCATTAAAGTCTCATTAATATGAGGGTTACACACACACACATCCGGTCGCATACGGTCTCGCTGAGGTAGCGTCCCCTCTTCCGGTCCCCCTGCTCTATTGTCTGGAGAGCGTCCCGCTGTGGTTCGGTTCCGGAGGGGAAAGAGTGAAGACTCACTGACCTGCGAATAAAGGAGAAAAACAGAGAAATGCTATTCTTGTTTTTCTCGCCTTGCTCATTGTAACACTGGCATCAACAGTAATGTTTTACGTGTGCTGTTTTCTGAGGCAATCATCGCTATTACTGTTGCACATACTTTATGTTGAGGATTTAAACACACCCCTAACCCTAAAGATGTAACTTGTCCCACACCATCTAAGATTTGTGCTACAGACGTGATTGCTACCTCAAATAATGCGGCTTGTTGATGAATTACAAAGACTTACAATGAAGGAGGAGTCCAAGCCATTTATAGAGACCAGAATATCATAGAGACTTGTAAATGGGCTCATTTGACCTGAACCTGAAGGAAACCACTTTTTTCTTTGTTTTGTTTGGTTTTGGACTTCTCATGGACTTTCATTGTCTGGACAAAGAAGTTGGAACGTTTTGTTTGTGTTCATTTTAAAATTTTTTTTGGACTGCACAGACGAAATCAATTGAAACATCTGTTTTGTTTTGGACTCCACATTGACTTTCATTGTGTGGACAAAGACGTTGGAACTTTTCTTTCTTGCTTTGTTTTGCATTGTTTTGTTTTGGACTTCTCGTTGACTTTCAATATATGGACAAAGAAGGTGGAACATTTTGTTTTGTTTGTGTTTATTTTTGTTTTATTGTTCTGTTTTGGACTTCTCATTGGCTTTCATTTAGTTTTTTGTTTTGCTTTGCTTTGTTTTGGTCTTCTCATTGACTTTCATTGTATGGACAAATAAGTTGGAACATTTTGTTGTTTGTTTTTTTGAAAAAAAATTTCAGTTTGTTTTGTTTTGGCATGCACAGACAAAAACAATTTTGAAACATTTATTATGTTTTGTCTTGTTTTTGCCTTCCATATTGACTTTCACTGACAAAACCAGTTGAAACGAAACAAAACAGAAAAGAAAAGAGACGGAGAGAAAAATAAATAAAAAGAGTTTGGTGTTCTGTAGCAGAAAGACACCCATACAGGATTGGAGTGATATGAGGGTGAGTAATTGATGACAGTATTTTAATTTTGGGGTGAACTGTCCCTTTAATCCCGGGTCACCGCAGGAAGATTTTTCTTGAAATAACATTGCTTTGGGGTAAAAATCTGCTACTTACTTGTGTACTAGACGTTGTACAAAGTAGAGATAGATTAAGACATGCAGATAAAACATAGACAAACTATTTATTTATTAATTTTTTCTCCAGAGTGACCCGTTTAACGCGACTGCCATCCTCATTGGTCGATCTCAGCGAGCCAATGGAAGTCGTCCGTTATGAGCAGGGCGGCTACAGCCACGCCCACCACGACAGCGGTCCCACCAATCACGACAGCAGCTGCGCCCACACACACCTGGCAGCTAATAACTCCGCCTCCAAGCAGGTCGCATGCAGGTACATCTACTGTATAAGACATTTGGAATCTGTTTGAGTGACTCTTAAAAATGTTACGCCATAATAAAAAGACTGTATCTGACCTGATACGCAGGTATCTGACGGCCTTGCTGCATCTGAACTCGGCGGATGGAGGTGGAGAGACCAGCTTCCCTGTGGCTGACAACAGGACATACGAGGAGGAGGTGAGCCATTTCCTGTTTCTGTGGCAACAGGGGGAGGTGAGCTCTGTTGCCATGCCAACCAGGCAGCAACAGGAAGAAGGTCTTGAATTATGATAGCTATCTTAGGCACTTGACGTTATTGCAGCTTCACTTTTGTGTGTGTGTGTGTGTGTGTGTGTGTGTGTGTGTGTTGCAGGTCTTAGGTGATCTCTCTCAGCAGTACTGTGATAAAGGTAATCTGAAGGTCAAACCTGTAGCTGGAACCGCTCTGCTGTGGTACAACCACCTCTCAGATGGCAATGGTGAGTTTCTCTTTTTCATATGCCTCCATTTCCTGTATTTGTGACTATATCTTTTTTTTAAATTTATTGTTATCAGAGCTGGGTAGATTACTTACAAATTGTAATCCGTCACTGATTCCAAATTACATGACAAAAATTGTATTTAGTAACGTAATCCATTAGATTACACATTTTAGGTAATATAATCACACTACTTTTAGATTACTTTTGGATTACTTTTGACCTAACTCGTTTATCACATTGATTTAAATAGGATAATCTTGTACCATATTAATATAAAAATATAAATCAGTAAGAAAATATATTCTATTCGTTGTTATTAGCAACATGAAGTGCGATAAACTTTACTGTACATTACGTCAAGGTTTCCCAAACTGAAGTGTGTGAAGAAACTGCAGGGGGTTTATGAGTTGAATGAAAAGCTAATAATTAAAAAAAACATAAAAATTTAAAATCATAAAAATGTTAAATTAAAATAAATCATTTAAAAATCAATCAAACTAAAACACTAGAAAAAAATATTTGTTTACCTGCATGTCATGTGACCATAATCAATGTCAGAGAAACATGCAAATGTGATACTTAATTATTAAAAAATGTATTTGTAAATCTCATGGTACTTCAAGTAAATATATTAGGTGAAAGAAAATCAGACAACAACAAAAAGTTGGTGAATTTATGTGCATTTTAATGTGTTTGAAAGACAAACGCCTTCCAAAGTAATACATGGGAAAATAACCGATAGTGTGATAATTCAAATAAAAATGTATGTGTTCATCAGTAGATGTTGAAACACTTTTAAACTTGAAATGATTTTTGTAAATCCTGTGGTCAAATGCTGTGTAGCCACCTGACTAATGGCTGATCTCTGTGTGAATGTCCACGAAACTGGAAGATTTTCTGAGTGTATATAAGCAGTAGGCTTTTAGAAAGGAACATTTAAAAGATGTAAAAAAGGAAATAGGGTGAACCAATAAATTCTGAATAATTTATTTCCATTGTGAAAATAATATGCAACCATGTAATCCATAAAAACGAATCTGGAGTCTGATTATGAGTATTTTAAAATATAATCCAATCTAACTACAAGTACTTATTTTTTGTAATCTGATTACGTAATCCAGATCACATGTAATGAGTTACTTCCCAGCTCTGATTGTAGCGTATGCATAATGAATATTACCGAACTCACCGTTGTTCTTCTTCACATATTTCCGTCAGGTTGGGTTGGAGAGCTGGATGAATTCTCTCTGCACGGCGACTGCTTAGTCACTCGGGGCTTCAAATGGACAGGAAGTGTGTGGGTGAACATCGACCCTGACCAGCAGCGGCAGGAGCGCTACCAGCGTCTGGTCTCATGGCATCCAGACGGCCAAAGCAAAAAGCCCGAGCACGGAGACCTTCACCAAGACCTCTGAACCAGACGATCAGACAGCTGATCCAGATTCAGTTTCTGCTAATGTGAAGCCTTGTTTAGGAAAGTAAAAGCTGGTGCAGTAAGAGATACCCGCTGCTGTGAGCTTTACCTTTATATAGCTGTCAGCCCCTGCTCCGGTGACATATCATTTAATATTCATGAGTTCAACGGGGAAATTGCTTTCAATAATAGCTAAACGTTCACTGATGCATAGTTTGCTGGTGTCGCACAACTTATTTATTCCCTATTTATGAAAGCGTTTTAGTCAATGTGGTTCAAAGTTATTATTTATTTGTCAATTTGCTATTTATTTAATTATTTATTATTTATTCATATATATCAAATGTGGTGTGTACACACACACATATAAATATAGTCACATAATGTGTGTCTATCTCAGGTTTGGTTACGCACAGGTTGTCTTTTTCCATTTTAATGCGCTATTGCAAGCAAAGAAATAGTCAGATATGTAAGTTAAATTAATTATGAAATAAATTCATATTTATAGAAGAGTGAATGGGTGGTGTTTTCGATTTCACTGGTCAACTTTCTGTAGGAATTAAACCTCAGCAATCACACATTACAGATTTCACCGATATACAAGTGCAGGTGTTCCCCACAAGAGGGCATTGTTTTTACTTAAGAAGGTTCTGTTTATTTATGCATTAATATATGCATTAATTTTTGACAAGTATGAAAGCCAGGCTGTGAGGGATTCGAAATACAGTGTGTTCAATGGACCGTACTGTTGTTTAACAACATACCGATTGTTCAGCTGACAAAACATCTTTCCAAAAACACTTTTAGTACACACAACTCCATAAAACAGTTTTGAAACCTAGTGGCATGTCTGTTGAATTTTAAACTTTAATGGTGTAGAACTGGCAGTGATAATTTACAGAATTTCAAACTCATGAGGCGCAATTATATAAAATTACTTAAAGGTGCAGTGTGTACATTTTAGCGGCATCTAGCGGTGAGGTTGCGAATTGCAACCAACGGCTCAGTCCCCCGCTCAGCCCTCCCTTTAGGGAAGCTACGGTGGCCGATACAGGACTAAGATGTCGTCGGTAAAGACAGCAGAGAGCAATGCGATTTTACAAAGGTAAATTAAGGAATTATATTTACTGAATTATTTAATAAATCGATGTTATTGCGAAATTTTAATGCACTTGTTCATCCTTGTGTCAGTGTTTTATTCGCAAGAACAACAAAGCGACGAAACGCGCTGTGTAGAGCAGTTTGTCCGTTTAGGGCTACTGTAGAAACATGGCGGCGGCTTCCATGTAAGGGGACCCGCGGTGTATGTAGATATAAATTGCTCAATCTAAGGTAATAAAAACATAACGGTTCATTAAGCAAGGTCTTTATACACCTCTGAAAACATAGTTATGTATATCATACTGCATTTCTGTCAATAGATCGACGTAAATATTACACATTGCACCTTTAAGTATCCACTACAGGTTCTAACAATTTCTGTTCTAACAATTTGATAAACCTTTAATTTTAGTAACCTTCCATTTGTTTTCATTACAGAAAGCTATATTCTCAGAATGTTGCCACTTTAGATGACACACACATGCCATATTCAAAAGAAAAAAAGCTTTCAAATGTGCTACCTGAAGGTACTGTACACACACACACACACACACACACACACTTCTCCTGTGCTGTAGCTGCCGAGGGAACTCAATAGAACAGCACGTAAGCCATTATTGCAAAAGATCCTTTAATACCCTCTGGATCTTGAGGCTTAATACAGAGTCTATGGAATTTTGGGGCTTTTGGTGACTCACTAAACACGAATAGTTTCTCACAGCTGTCTGGCTATGCTTGTGTACTCTATAAATTCGATACTGCTTTGTGAATACCTTTGGGCTTGGCAAAGGCAAAAGACCATTTCTATCCCCTGAAGTATGATGCAGACTACTTTAATAGGGTACAATAAGTCTAAAGGGGGTTATTTAGGTCCATTGTAACTACTAGAGAAGTTAGAATGGAGACATCTTAACATTTGTTTTGGTATAAAACTGGACTCTTGAGTGTATTATGACAGGTTAAAAAAAAAAAAAACATTAATGAATTCATATTCTATGAAATGAGATTACACTTTTAACTGTTTTAATGATTTTGCCCAGCTAATTAAAGGCCTTTTATTTTTTACTACACGAGTGCCTTGGAGTATTTCATCTTCTCAGATTAATAAATGAATATTGATTGAGTAAAATTACTTTAAATATTAAAAATTAAAAACTTTAAAATGCTTAAGTAATTAAAAATTACTATAAAAAATAAAAAAGCTACTTTAATACTTCACTTAAATGAAAGAACGTACTTTAAAATTACTTAAAGTATTTCAAATCATTTTAAAAATCATTTTAAATATGGCATAATTTTCACAAACTTCAAATTGTGTGGATCCACTCATATGCACCCACTTAAAATATAGAGTCAAATTTTACAAACAGATGTAAGTAAATTAATGAATTAATTTGCATAACATGTTGAACGTCTAAAGGTAATCGGCCATGATAAGTTCAACAGTAAGGTTAAGTCCAGGGAACATCAGTTCAAGTCAGGTTCCTTTTGCCAAACCACATTTATTCTTCCTTTTCTCCATCAAGCTAATAATCAACCCAGTGTACTCAAATTAACCCAGCATTGATCATGAGTGGCTCCACTCGACGCATTTCTGTTTCGATTTGAGCCCGACGTGTATTTATCTCTGCAACTCTCCAACACATCTTCTTACACGGAGTGTTAACCACAGACTGTATAAAAACAGGTGTTAACAGATGAATAGTGTGTCGCTGTGAGACTCGTGCAGAATCAGAATCAGTACGCGGCTTTTGTCAGTCAGCTACGCGTTTGTGTGTGATAACGTCGGACATCAGCCAATCACAGACGACCGCACATTCCTCAGCCAATCACAGCGCCGCGCCGAGCATCATGACCGGGACGCTGCAGCCGAGCGCTGATGCTTTCAGAGCAGTGCAAGACCCAACGAGACAGGCGCAACCTCACACCTGCTTTTCCCTTCACCAAACCGGGAGCTCCTTTAAGACTTACTATCATGCGCGTTTAACCAACATCCATGCGATTCTTCAGGCTTACCTTCAAGTGCTTTGTCGACTGCTTTTGAGACCCTTTTATTCCTCGTCTGCCAGCGACGCACGTCAATTATTATAATTTGGAGATCAATCTTGTCGACGTTCTGCAGAAGATCAGTTTCACCCAAACAATCAGACAGCAACCCCACGGAAAAGTACCGCACAACGCGAATTAAAAAATAATAAAAGGTGAAGAACCGTTATTTGTTAGTTCTCGGGCGCGCGACGCTCCTGCTGGCCAGTGCGCGGCATGTCGCCAGAAGAGCACTTCTCCAGTAAGAATGGCTTTATATGCTTGTTTGTTTACATACCTATTGATAATAACAGGAATAACACGTTAATAACTGTGTATTTACATAGACCTGATATAAAATGTCATCTATAAATCGACTGAATCAGATTGGTGTTTGCTAGTAATGTATCTTTCGTTACACGGACTGCTCTGAAACACTGGAGTTATCTGAACAGGATCCAGATCTGGTCTCCGTGTGTTTACTAGTGCTGTCAAACCATTAATCGCATCCAGAATAAAAGTTTTTGTTTACGTAATATATGTGTGTGTACCGTTTTATTATGTATATATAAATACACACGCACATACAGCATTTATTTTGAAAATATTTACATGTCTATATTTATATTCATATAATTTATATTATAGATAAATATATTTCATATATAAACATAACATATTTTTCTGAAATATATACATGCATGTGTGTATTTATATATTCATAATAAATATACACAGTAGACACGGATATATTATGTAAACAAAAACTTAAATGTTTTATCTATACATGTATACATCTGAAAGCTGAATAAATAAGCTTTCCATTGATGTATGGTTTGTTAGGATAGGACAATATCTGGCTGAGATACAACTATTTGAAAATCTGGAATCTGAGGGTGCAAACAAATCTAAATATTGAGAAAATCATCTTTAAAGTTGTCCAAATGAAGTTCTTAGCAAAGCATATTACTAATCAAAAATTAAGTTGTGATACACACACACACACACACACATATATATATATATATATATATACATACTCACACACACATATATATGAACTATTTAAATCTAATATGCAAATTTGTGATATCAAATTTTTACACTTTATTACAAACTACTGGAGTTCATATCAGTTAAAATGTTGCTGTTATTAAAGCAAAAGAAGGGTCGTGTTCGTCTCTCTCTCAGATGATGGCGGCACGTGTGAGGATGAATCTCAGGAGGAAGCAGAAGTCGCCCGTCCTTTGGTGTCAGAGACTGAGGGGTCCAGTACGGAGGTTGCTGAGCCCAGTGTTTGCGTGGGTTTGATGAAGACCGGTGACCCCAACACAGAACTGGGGCATTCAGAACGACAAACATGGAGCAGGCAGATGGACTTTATCATGTCCTGTGTTGGATTTGCTGTTGGCCTTGGAAACGTCTGGAGATTTCCTTACCTCTGTTTTAAGAATGGAGGAGGTGAGATATATACAGTCAGGCACAGGTATATGATATTTAACCGAACTGATACATAGAGTGGGGTCTAAAAGTCTTGAGACCAAATTGAAAATGTGAGATTTTCCTTTCTATACTCAATTATTGATCAATTAGTGACCCTGAATTTAAAAAATAAAATGTTGCTGACTCTCAGGCCATCCAAGATGTAGATGAGTTTGTTTCTTCATCAGAACAGATTTGGAGAAATGAAGCATTGCATCAGTTGCTCACCAATGGATGCTCTGCAGTGAATGGGTGCCGTCAGAATGAGAGTCCAAACAGCTGATAAAAACACCACAATAATCCACACCATTCCAGTCCATCAATTAGTCTTGTTAAGTGTTTGTTTTATTTGTAATCCATCAAGACGTTTTAACTTCAAACCATTGCTTCTGTCCAAAATAATCCATAATTCAAAATAACTTCATAATAGCTTCCTCCAGTGAAAAAGTCCATCCCCTGTTGTCCTCTCACATCAAAACCCACCAATGTATTTGTTTAGATCTGCTTTGGACTGTTTTTGCTTGATCTATATATTTCTCTATATGCATATTTCTGATTCAGACAAAACATGCTGATGAAGAAACAAAATCATCTACATCTTAAATGGCCTGAGGGTGAGTGAATTTTCAGCAAATTTCCATTTTTGAGTGAACTGTTCCTTTAACACTAATAAACTAAATCATCTGAAATGTAAAGAGGAATCTGCCAGTAGAGATAAATTAGAAGGTCAAAGCGCTGAGAAAAATAAACATGGGCCCGACAGACAGGAAGAAAGAGGAAGGACAATGGCTGTCTACTGTTCATGGCCTAAGTTTATCAAAGGTTGAAGAAGTGATACTCTGTTCTTTGTTCTCCTCTCCTTCTCTCGTAACATTAACCACCTGTGCAGCTCTTCTGACGCTTGTAGGTGGTGATGTATGTGGCTCAGAGTTATAAGCTTTTTTTGTTTCCCCTTTACTGCCAGCTGAAGCGTGTCAGTAAGTCAGCATCAGTGTCATAAGAACAGAGTCAGTTGCGTCTATAGAGCTGATACTAAACATTGGATTTGTTATCTGTCTGTAAACAACATGATTTGCAATGCAGACCTAATCTATTTTGGTCTCTCTCTTACATACACAAAGACTACATTTTAAGAGTTTTCTTAAAATAGTATGCCCCAAAAATGAAAATTACCCCATGATGTCAGGGATCTTATCTATGCACAATCAGCTTGTAACACTCCAAAGAGAAAGGAAACCTTGAAATCGCATCATATGACCCCTTTAAAACATCTCTCGTGAACACGTGTACAACAGTTAGCGGAAGCTAGAGATTATGGTTTATGAAGTTTAAATATGGATATTTTTATTTACACAAACGCATCTCCTTTCAGTGTGTTGAAAAAATAACATATAATACATTTCATTTAATTGCAATTAACATGCAATTAAGTGTCCTAAAGCATTACATTCAGTTCAAGCTTAAGTATACTATTTCTGTAACAAGCATTTGAGTCCGAAATTTTCGCATGCATTTATTTTTTCGCATTTGTCATACTTTCCTATCAAAATGCATGCTACAGATGCGAAAACGCAGAAAATCGAACCTGATCCGAATTTTTTTTATGACCGACGAACGTTTCGGAGGCAGTGTGTAAACGTGATTGACACAACGTGAGGTCGTATTTATTTTTTAATGTGCGAAAATTTCTGACTCAGTTTGCAAAGTCTTGTTATTTCCTGTGTGTTGCAGGTGTGTTTCTGATCCCCTATGTCCTGATGGTGTTTGTTGGAGGTGTTCCAGTGTTCTTCCTGGAGATTGCATTGGGTCAGTTCATGAAACAGGGTGGAGTCGCCACATGGAACATCGCACCTCTTTTTAAAGGTGGAGTATTATTAACAGCCCAACATGTTTGTATTTCAAATCACAACCCTTGCCAGCCTCTAGTTAAACAGATCCATACCTCATCCTACCAGCAATTATCTTTCATTTTAATGGCAAATTTATTATTGAATATTGATATTGATTTATAATGGAATATTGATCTGTCTGGCTTTTAATATCATCCAGCGTGATGCATAGCAAGTATCGCAGCAGGGTGAAGAAGGGCAGTGTCTTTCTTTCCTCCAGGGCTTGGACTGGCATCAATGGTGATCGTGTTCTTCTGCAACACCTACTACATCATGGTTCTGGTGTGGGGCCTGTATTTTCTGGCTCACTCCTTCACTTCCCCTCTGCCGTGGGCCACGTGTGGACACGAGTGGAACACAGTCAACTGTACCACTAACTTCAGCCGCGTGTGTTTCACTCAGTCACTGTCCCCTTCCCCTCCCAACGTCTCCTCCCTCAACACCAGTGCCAGCTGTCTGGAGCACACGGGTTTGCGATCATCTGTTATGGAGTTCTGGGAGTAAGTGTCTTTGAAAAGGTTTCCAACCTCGATTAGGCCCTGGCACAGATTTTTATTTCTTTTTCGATGAGAAAATGTTGTTGCATCAGATGAGCTATTGAAGCTCTTAAAGGGGTCATATGATGCTGCTAAAAATAACATTATTTTGTGTATTTGGTGTAATGAAATGTGTTTATGCGGTTTAAAGTTAAAAAAACACATTATTTTCCACATACTGTGCATTATTGTTTCTCCTCTATGCCCCGCCTTTTTGAAACGCCTCGATTTTTACAAAGCTCATCGGTCTAAAAAAGCGAGGTGTGCTGTGATTGGCCAGCTATCCAATGCGTTGTGATTGGCCGAATACCTCAAGCATGAGACAGAAATGTTACGCCCCTCACATACTGTTGATGCCGTGTCCGGCCGGAGCGACAAGACATAAACATTAAAACCCATTACAAACGAGGCATTTGTTGCAACCAGTGGGGACATAATTACTGAGAATATCTCTTTGGATTTGAGACTTTAGTCTTTGCAACTTTACAGATCTTCTTTATGCACCGAGAGCTTGTAACACTCTAAAGAGAAAGGAAAAAATGAAATCGCATCATATGACCCCTTTAAAGGGATACTTCACCCAAAAATGAAAATTCTGTCATTTACTCACCCTCAAGTTGCTCTGTTGAGCACAAAAGAAGATATTTTAATATTCCGAGTCACTCGGTTGACGGTAGCCATTGACTTCAGTAGTATAGAAAAATACTGTAGAAGTCAATGGCTACCGTCAACTGCTTGTGTATTAACCATTTGTATGTATGATCTATTTATGTATTAACTGTTTGTAGAAAGCAAGAATGCCTTGCTACATTGTCAGTCGCTGTTTTGTGTCTATCAGTGTTCTTTAGCTGTGATAACATTTGTATTATAGCATGGTCATTCCATTCAGACCTTTTTGCTTTATTTTGGGAATGGCTAAGTTAGTTATGGAAGCCCGTTTCCGCCACTGAATAAAAAATAAAAAAAAGGTAATTGCGACTTTTTATCTCACAATTCTGACTTTTTTCACAGAATTGTGAGATGTAAACTCGCAATTGCGAGTTATAAAGTCAGAATTGCGAGATATAAAGTCAGAATTGCGAGATATAAAGTCAGAATCGCAATTGCGAGTTTATATCACGCAATTCTGAGAAAAAAAGTCAGAATTGTGAGATAAAAAGTCGCAATTACCTCTTTTATTTTTTATTCAGTGGCGGAAACGGGCTTCCATACTTAGTGTTAACTTTAGTTTGACAAAATGTTTCTTTCTCGATCAGGCGTAAAGTCCTACGTCTGTCTGGTGGTTTGGATGAAGTGGGTGACATCAGCGGTTACATGGTCTTGTGTCTGCTTGCTACGTGGGTCATTGTCTACTTCTGCATCTGGAAGGGTGTTAAGTCCGCTGGAAAGGTACAAATATATGTTTGTGAAAGATGGTGGCTGAACAATATTATTTCAAAAAGAAATTAATACTTTTATTTAGCAAGGATGCATTAAAGTGATCAAAAATTACAGTAAAGACTGTCATAATGTTACAACAAATCTGCATTTGAAATCAGTGCTGTTCTTTTGAACTTTCTATTTATCAAAGAACCCTGAACAAATGACTTGCGGTTTCCATAAAAATGTGAAGAAATGTTTCTTGAGCAGCAGATCAGCATATCAGAATGATTTCTGAAGGATCATGTGACACTGAAGACTGGAGTAATGAGGCAGCTTGGCATCACTGGAATAAATGACATTTTGCAATATATTAACATAGAAAATATAGAAAACAGTTATTTTAAATTGTAATAATATTTCACAATATTACTGTTTTTACTGAATTTCTGATCAAATAAATGCAGCTTTGTTGAGCATAAGAGACTTCTTTCAAAAACAAAAAATTGTACTGACCCCAAACTATATATATATATTTTAATAATATATAAATAAATATTGTAATAATACTATTGCAGCGTTTCCTTTGTTGATTGTTTTGTACGTTGTAATGGTCGTAACTCTGTAATGGGCTGTTGTTATTGGACGTTTTAAGCTAATCATCAAGTACTCAAATCAATATTTCATGTATTTATTTGATAAGTAGCTGTGTAATAAGTGGGATAATGTACAGTCAGATGCTCATTATCTGCTTCACGTCAGGGTCCTGATCACCCTGCTAGGGTTTATTTTGCGGTAATGATGGCTGGCTCTACATTATCCATTACATACACACTTACTGTGCACACATCAGCCGAACCATTATGAATGTTTGTTGGGAACATGAGAAAATAGATCTAAAGCCAGAGCACTGGCCATGTAAGCTGATTACTAGCTCTCCCAGCGGGTGTGTGTGTGTGTGTGCTGGGTTTAGTTCTAGTGCTTGACTGTCAAGAGAAAAGATTTCGAACCATGATAATAATTCTAAATCTGTGATTATTCAGACCGTAATACTCATTTCAGGAGCGACAGCGGTTTAGGTGGAAAAATACGAGCAGTACAGTAATGTGTCTGTATGTGTGTGTGCAGGTTGTGTATTTCACAGCTGTGTTCCCATATCTGGTCCTGGTGGTCTTGTTTGTTCATGGCGTCTCACTGCCAGGAGCTCTTAATGGCATTATTTACTACCTGAAACCAAACTGGAGCAAACTCTCAGAGGCACAGGTGAGAGCGTGGCTGCACGTGTTCAGATATATGTGGGTACGTGATTCTATGTCGAAACCATGTCTCAGCAATTAACGATTTCATAAATAAAAATACAATGTAAAGCATTATCAAAACAGTAATAGAGATGGGTTTTTTTTAAAGAATTGTTTTGGCCCAAATAAATTGTGAATCAAATCTGGCGAAAACAAAAATTCTTTACTTATTTTATAATTTATTTATTTAATAATTGATCTCAAAACATGCTACAAACTTTATATTTCTGGCTGGTCAAGTAAAATATGCAAGTGCTTTCAAGAGTAAACGGCACTAAGATCCAACAGTAAGCAAAGATTCACTCGTGTACTGTATTTTTAAAGCAAAACCTAGAGCCAAGTGACATGGTTTTATAATTCGTGTTGTCATGACGATTATGATGGCAGGTATGGATTGATGCTGCCACACAGATCTTCTTTTCTTATGCTATCGGTCTGGGGGCCCTGACAGCTCTTGGGAGCTACAACCGATTCAACAACAACTGTTACCAGTGAGCAAAATATCACACACACACACACACACACACACACACACACACACACACACACACACACACACACACACACACACACAGATCCTTTCATA